AGGGAAAGAAGTTGAAGGCAGAATAGCACAAGGCTAGCAAGTAATAGCAAGTAAAGGCCTTTTACTCAAACTGTTATCCTCCTGCTACCCTTAAGGACCAAAATGTCTTGAAGACCTTGGAGTACTGCCAGTCTTTTGATAGAGACTCAAGAATTAAAATCCTGTCAGATAATGTTCCAGATCTTCAGAGAAATAATTACAACCAACTTTCCCATTCTCATCCATCTCTTCCCTATTCTATTGATGATCTAGTTTAAATTAAAAAAAGCTTTTTTGTGGTCTAGCTCCATAATAGGGTTGTTCTATAATATCTCAATTTGTCTCAAGCAATTTTTCTAATAGTGTGCGTCAGTAGAAGCAAACATGTGCTGAACATTTACTGCAGTAACATCTACTTGGCAGATATATTTTTCAAACATCAGATGCAGTATTTTTGCAAAAGTGACGTGAGGAGGGTTACTTTGGCTTTCAAAAACAATATTAACCTTTATACATTGTACTGCTTATTCAGAAATCTCAATGTGCTTAACGGATTATTAAGATAATTATGAAAATCTCTAATTTGCAGATGGGGGAAGCTGACACAGAGAGGGTAAATGTGTTGCCCAAAGGCACACATCAAAGTCGGAGTAGAAAAGGGAATGGAGCTCAAGACTCCTGACTTACATATCTCATTCAAACAAAATCCTCTTAAAAAGAGCACAGGTTGAACTCGGGCTGAAACACTGAGATGTAAACAAGTTCTGCTAAGCGGTGGGAACGTTCCTTACAAATATTTAATCAAAAAGATGTGCTTTGCCCAGCAGTACCTCTCTAATCCACCCAAAGCTGTTCCCACCAGGAGAAGAAACACTGCACAGGGTGGCACCTTTCCCAAAACACAGTCACTCTGAGAGGGGCCTCAGTAGAGCTGATAGAAATGAAGTAAGTGAGGGCATCCATTTGGTGATGGTAGGCAAGTTTAGGGGACCATCTTTTTTGGACACCTCCGGCTTCAGAATTTTTATACCCAAAAATTTGGTGCCCAAATACAGTGTAGGGATTCAGATCTCAGAGGCTGGGTGCCTCTGCCTCCCTCCTGGGCAAGCAGAGGTAGGTTGGCTTCTCCAAAAGTGCAAGCTGATGCCCACGAGCTGTGGGTAGACTGTTAAAACTAATGAGCAGGACATGGGAAGCTGAGAACAATGTGAATTACTGCCTCGCCATGAAGCTTTGGAGTCTGACTTGAGGCTGCATTTTGGGTATTTCAGACCTTCAGCGAGCGTGTGTCTGGAGTCCTTTCCTGATTAAAGATGCTGAAGTAAATGTGGGCTTCATGTGTAGTTCCCCATTATGAATCCTACAGAAGCGGAGCCAGTTTGAGGTTCCAGCCCCAGCTGCTTGCATCATTCCTCCCCACTACCCCCATTTCATCTCTACACCCCTCCCACCCTCAAAGATTTTAATTCCCTCATCTGTTTCAGAATATGGCAGTACAAATAGCTTTGTGGAATAGTCTGGTGAAAAAAGTCAGGCTCCCACTCTTCCCTTCCAGCCTTTCCCTCAGCCTTCCTAAAAAAAAAAAAAGAAACCCCAACAGAGAGTGGGTTTGCATTTACAGTAGACTATTTCACTGAAAGATTTTGAAGTGTGCCCACGCAAACAGCTGAATCCATACAGCTGAGAGTGCTGTAATCCTTGGGCAAAGGGGGAGGGAGAGGCAGGAGGATGCTGATGCTGGAACCTCTTAAACGGGCTCTGCTGGCAACAGCAAACTGCATCTTTGCTGTCCTGAAAATCTGTCTGCACAGGGAGGCTGTGGTGGTACGAGCATTCCCAGGAAGAGGGAGCCTTGCATTCAGGTCTCTTAGCCTGATCCGTATCCTAACAGGATGCCCTCGTGTAGTGAGTGATCCATGAGTTTGGTTAATGTATAGTTGTTGCTTTCTCCTTCTGTGGGTGCTAGACCATAACACTGCCAAATGCAGGGCTCACCGGCGGGAAGAACAAGACAGAAAGAACCATATCTGTTATCTGCAGATTAGGCTACTCTGTTCACAGGTTTCTGCTTCTCACCATCAGAATTATTTGACCTTTATATTGGATAATTGTTAAACAAGGAATCAGAAGTAATCCATGTGTCAAGGACTTGATTTCATATCTTCCCTTTTGGGTGAAGGATTATACCCCATCAAGTATAAGGCTGTTACAGCAAAAATGCACAGCATGAGAAATTGCTTTGCAGGCTATACCTTCTAGTCTGTGGTTTTTTTTTTTTCTAAACAGACTTTAACAGTTTCCCTTTGACAGTTTGTATGTTTGTCCTTTTTTGGCATTTTTGATTGTGTCATCCAAGCTGCGCAGGTAAGTCTGATAAACTTCTGAAAGTTTTACAGGTCACTCACTACAAGTGAGTGATCCTAATAACAATTCTGGTGAATGAATTCACCAGAAAATTACATTATTTCTTCATTAGATATGTAAGAATTTACACGATAGATATTTTTTGACTGTCCTAACTGCAGGAGAAGCTCTATTCTGTTTTTTTCCCCTTTTATTATCTATATTTCTCCCCCAAAAAAGAACACAGTCCCCACTTGCTGATGCCTAGTATGATAGCAATTCTGCAGCTGATATTTTTCTTCCACAAAGATTCGTTGATAACTGAGGTGTGGTGGTCTCCTGGTGCTGTCTTAAGGTGCAGCTGTGTCTTTTAGCTCAACTCAAGCTTGGATCATCACCACTGGCTGATCTCAGACCTGACTTGTTTCAGATGAAACTAAACTGAAAATAGACTTCAGGGGGATACCTACTGTGCTTCAGCCACTAATGGGCTTTCAAGTCACTGGACCATGTCAGAATTAGTGATAAGCAACCCCCCTGAAACACATGTAGTGCGGACATCGTTTTCTCAATACCAGCTATTTTGCTTTATAGATCTGTTCCTGTTGGTCTACGCTACTCGCTAATCTAAATGTAAACTCGATTCAGTTGACTCATTCTCTGAATCAGCTGACTGAAATGCATCCATTGAAAATGCAGTTTCTTTATTACTGATTCCCTCAGAACAGCAGCAAATGCAAGTGCTGAGCTCCACGCTGGCTACATTTGACTATCACAGAGTCTTGTAGGAAAGCGAGTGTTGATGGGGATGTGAGCAGCATTTACTGGCACCCCCTTTTAAAAAAAAAAATAAAAAATTGTTCTTAATTTTTTTAGTTGCATTGACATGTAGCGGGTATTTGGGTACCTAGCAGTGTGATCTTTGAGATCTGCACAAGGTAAGGAGGTGCCTAAAAAAGCCTTTGGGCTAAGTAAGTGTGTGATGAGTCTTATGGGCTGGAGCAATGCTATTTAACTTCCTAAATCTCACCAGAATAAACTTCATCTGAATAAAACTTGCTTAAACTTAGTATATATACATTTTTCAAATTACTTCCTATTGGTCTTTCTATTTTTTTTTAAGAGAGGGAGCAAAAAAAGGTATCAACGACATGAGAACTGATGAAAAAGCTGGTCCTGTATTTGCAGCATACTTATCACTTCATGTCTCAGTTCACATCTGTTTAAGTTATCTGGTTTTAGCTTTTTGTTTCCCTGGCAATGAGAGCAAACACTATATTACTGCAACTTCTAACAATAACTCTCTGTTTCTGTATTCTGCTGTACTAAGCTGGTCCCAGAGAGATTCACATAAAATCATTCTTTGTAACCAGCTATATTTCATATGGACACTATCTGTAAAATAATTATATATTCCTGATGTCCACGTACCCTACAAGGCTATTAGTGTGTACTGACATAGGCATTTCTGATAATATCCAGTTCTAACGGTAACTCTGTATAATATAAACTCTATAAAAAAATGAAAATATGCACACCCCTAGCCATGGCAATATTCCACGGTTCTAAATATCATGTGCTTGAAACGTTCAACCAAAAACCCTCAAGAAGTTTAAAAATAATCATTATAGTGGCGCCTTTCTTGCTGCTCTGTAGCTGAGGTCCTCCTCATCATCTGCCCCTGTACACAACTGGAATTTAAAACTCTGGCTTGTAAATAAATTGTGGTCTGAAGTTACTGATACAGCCTTTTGTTCAGTGAGCAGGCAGCTCAGCTAGTGAAATAGCTGTCCTAGTTCTCGGAGATAAGGGTGTCTTTAGCCACGTTCTCAGCAGGTATCCTCTCGTGCCTTGGTATGTTACCAGCTTCTGTCTCCAGCTATGAGTTCTATGGATTTGGGGAATAATTTACACTTAAAAAGGGATGCGTGTAGTATTACATATGTGATTCCCTTTTCACTTTATGCCTGCCTCTTCCAGTTAGATTTTGCCCAGTCCATAGGCTGTATGATGGTGGGAATGCATTGTAAAAGGTAGAAAGAATCTCAGATACCGTGGAGAAGCAGTGACTGAAGGATATGATTTTGATTTGAAAGAAACTCTTGTGAATAATAGTGGATTTCAGTTGAAGAGGAGAAAGATGGAGTTTACCTTTTTAAGTCACTGGTCTTCAGCCAAGTAGGACTGGGTAAGGCCTAGATCAGAGCCAACAAACTAGCTTCTGATCAAAGGGATCAATAGAGAGCAGTAAGTATCCTTTTACTGCACTACCCTGTAAACACAATTTAGGATGAATACTGTCTCCATGGGCACCAACCTGAAAACTTCCAAAACTTTAACTTGGAAGCTATACCTTAAGTTGAACATTCCTGAAAAATACTGAATCCATTGCTAAAAATGGTTACAATAAAAGTTGTTTAACAGACTGCATTTGTCTGGCCAAGGCAGTAGATCGCATAACTGGAACTGGACGCGCCCAGCCTAGCTGCTTCCATGTTGCCTATGGTATGGAATGTGGAGCTGGCTGGACTGGACGCCACACTCCCTCTCAACAGCTAAGATCAAGCGATGTCTGCTGAACTTCCAGGCGTTGTTTGATAGACTAGTTAATCAGATGGAGTTCTGAAGAATATTTAACTATCCCTGCAGAGGGATAGTTTAATATTTGTGAAAAAGCTAGCAGGAACTTGAAACCAAACTCTTTGAACACATCTCCTGGAACATTGTTCCAGGTTGCATGTCACGAAAGTATCAGACTGTTTCTTTTAAACGTTTGACCTGCATCTGTAATAGCAGTAAATTCACTCAAGGCATTGTTTTTTGATAACTATGAGGTTCCCTGCAAAGACCAAAACACTTCAATATGGTATTTGCAGTGTGGCTAGGGTAGAAGATGCCATGTAAAGTATCATCAAATAAATATATGAAGAAAGATAACCAGGACCTTAAAAATTTGCAGACTATGCCATTAGTGCAGAAATGCTGGTCAGGTGACTGGGAATGAATTTTAAATGTTTGGTTTTGTTTTGTTTGGGTTTTTTTTTTAATAAATTGAATCTTTCATGGGTGTTTCTTGTATTTCAGTAATCACCTAGGGAAGAGTCTGCAGCTGCTGATGGACAGAGTGGATGAGATGAGCCAAGACATTGTTAAATACAATACTTACCTGAGGAACGTAAGCAAACAGCAGCAGCAGAAGCATCAGGTTGGTAACATGGAAAACTTGAATAAGAAGATTTTTTTTTCCCACAAAATAAGGTTTGGGTGGTGTTATCTAACACAGATGAATTTGGATCTAAGCAAGATAACATTCTTCGAGAAACATATCCATTAAGTAGATTTATGAAATGTACTAGTCAGTGGGGAATTATTCAGTGGATTCACTTCTGCTGACGTGTTGCGTGGATTGGTCTTTCTTTGCTATTTTACACGTTTGTTAGTGATTTATGATAAACCAAAATCACTGATAAATATGCTGGGGACACAGGGATTAGAGGTTTAATAAATGAAATAAAAGAGCTGAAACTAAAAGTGAATTGTTCCAAAACAAACTGTGTTTTAATACCATTGCATGTAGTCATGCATCTAGAAATAAGGAAACCTAGTCCATAGTTAAAAGACAGCGGATTGTTCTCTGATCGGAAATGACACTTTAGTCATGTCTCATATCAGTAGATAGTAATACTGACCAGGTGATGTTGGCTTTTAATTCCTGATGCCAAAGGGACTCTTTAAAATCGAAAACAGTCAGATTAGAGAATACTGAGTATGGAGACCAGCTCTAAGTGGCCCTGCTTGAGCAGAGGGGCTGGATAAGGTGTCCTCCAGAGGTCACTTCCAACCGCAGCTGTTCTGTGATTTGGAGACGATATTACTTTATTTGCTGTTGCTGCATTTGATAAAGCAATACTGTGTCTAATTATAGAAGAATGCTGGTAAATTGGCAAAAAAGCACTATGAGAATGATTTAAAAGCCTGCAAAGCAGATCTCGGTGAATGCAATTCACTTCTTGTGATAAATTAAGTTAACGAGTGACTTGCTTACTCAAGAAGTACCTGCATGAAAAATACATTTGAACTCTTTAATCTAGCAGACAGAGATATGACCAGATTCAATATTGGCCAACTGAAAATGCGCCAGGCCACTTTAAAGATAAAATATTAGAGGTGTTGCTACGCAAAGTAACTAATTATTAAAAAGAGCACCTGCGGTTCATGTGAAACGCTTCATCACTGACTATTTTAAAATCAAAATTGGCTTTTTTCACTTAAGCAAAGTGTCGCTTGAACAGGGAATACTGTAGGGAAGCAGCGCATGATCAGTGGTCTCTGCTGGCTTTGTATTTCCTGAGGACATAGAAGTTTCATGCATGTTATCTTCAGAAAATTTATTTTCCTTTGCTGCCTAATTTGAATAGAAAGATGGCATCCACTTCAAAGGTTTTTGTTAATAACAAAGAGATCTATTTATTTTGAAAAGCAGAGCAAAGTAGGTTCCATGGTGTCTCACTTCATTTCTTTACTAACTGTAGCTGCTTTAGTAGTGGCTCATTGCAGCATAGTTAGTGGTCTTAACTTCATTTTTAAAATGGAGCAATTGTGATTAAGAGCAAGCCGTTTCAATAGAGAATAATAGGCAGACTGCTGAGAAGTGAATGGGGTAATGCAAAGAAAGAAGAAACTACATGCAATTCACATACAAATATGGGCATTTAAGATTTTATTTTTAACATTGTCCAAAAACATGTATTTGTCACTACTACTGGAAAAAAAGTTACTTCATTTGAGTACGCCACCAAGTAATGAACTGTTTTCAGACTTCTTATGCAGAGATACATTTAAGTGAGGGAAAGAAAACACCCTGTACTCTTTGGCCTATTTATTTTGAAGATTTTTTAATGTTGAATATGAGGGCTTCGATAGACAAACCTTACAACTAATTCCTGGCTGTGACATACAGTACGTATGACATATGTGATTTTAAATGTATGTACTTCTCCAAGAACAAACGTTTATCCAATAGCTGAAGAAGTGGTCTGCCTTAATTTTTATAAAGTTTGAGTAATCTACATGGCAAAGAGAAGCACTGAAGACAAATCTGACTTTTTTTTTTTTTTTCTGTAGCAGAATAATTTCTACAAACTGCTACTCTAGTATATCCTCTGGTAACCCACAAAGAAAGGGCATCAAAGTGGCAGAATATCTAAATAACTGGAATGGAAATATGAACTATTATGCTTTGTTCCAGACATCGCTTTGTTCCCAGTTTAGAGTTAGTATTTTTTGGCTTAAGTTACCTTCTTTAATCAAGTTCTCTTCCTGTTTCACCTTTAACTTGCATAAAATAGAGTATTTCTGGTTTGTATAACTATTTGAGGTAACAGTTTCTCATGCTTACATATTCCATCCTTGTTTTCCTTTTTTGCGTGGGCAAATGGAGGCCTTTATCTACCATGCTGTATTCTTTCCATCAGATAGAGTATTTATGAAAAAAATTTAAAATTAACCCCACCACCTCGGTACCACATACTTTTCCAGTGCCTCACTTATTTAAGGTGCCAACCTGGGAGGGGGAAATGCTTGCTAACAGTGAATTGAAATAAACTATGAGTTGCATTTGCGTTGTTTGAAATAAACTGAATTTCATTGAATAAGTGTAATTTTTAAAACATACTTGCTGGTTGGGTAAAGAGCATCTGAAAAGAAAAACTTGCAACTGCTTTGGAAGTCCTGGTGCATTTTGTTTCTGTTGCTTTGTTTTCAGTACCAGCAGAGACGTCAGCAAGAAAATATACAGCGTCAAAGCCGAGGAGAAGCCCCTCTTCCTGAGGAGGACATCAATAAACTTTTTAAGCCACTGCAGCCGCCTGCAAGAATGGATTCACTCCTTATTGCAGGTAACGTTCTAGCAGCCTCTTCAACTCATCTTTTCACATATGAATGTTAGCTTGGGACAAAGTGCAATTGTTACCTTAGAAAGCATCTTAATTTTTCATTACCTTTGGCATTATGAGGTGATGTCTTGGCATTGGTAGTATTCCAAATACGGTCCTTCATTTGGTCAAACTCAGTGGTTTCAGCCTGTAATCTAGTGTTTGAAGTATTTAAAAAAAAAAAATAGTAACTAAGAAAAACAACCTTATTGCTGGTAGGCAGTCCATGCCTCTGTTAGAAAGTAAGCGTACACATGAATTTTAAACCATGTGGGTAAGTAGCAGAGGCACGTTACTCATGCAGATATGAACTTACATAATTTTTTGAAAGGAAACCACTGTGTTTAACCAGAACGGCCGCATCAAGTTTTAAACTTGATGTATGGAGACTTTATCCCTTTATGTCTTATTTTGCCATGGTACCTACCTCCTGCTTGACCATCTGTGCCTCCAGGGCTGACGGGAAAGGTCAGGAGCAGCAGCCAGAGGCTCTTCCTGGCTCTGTTCTGAGAGGGTGAAATGGGATTTTAGGGAGAGCTGGAGAAACACCCCACAGAGCAGGCCCTCTCCACAAATGGGTGTAGTGACTACTGCAGTCCATCAGCTGCTCCCTGTACTCATGCCCCAGCTCTTCCCTCAACCCACAAGTCAGGGGGCTGTGCAGACAAGGGGTAGGAATAAGCTGTTTGGGCTGAAACTTCTGATTCAGAGTAGTTGTCTGCTGCCCAAAGTTAGTGATAACATCCCTAGGTGTTGAACCGGCTGTTGCAGCAGCTGAGCAGGTTTTACTTTTAATTTCACACCGAATTGGGATAATTTCTTTGATTTCTATGGCCAGAGTTTTAGGGAAACTATCCCCATCTTCCTGTACCTCGAGGTGAATGAAAATGTAAAGAGGAACAAAGTGTGGGTATATGGGGTCCCACCCCCCGGTTTCTTCAGTTTACTGAAGAATGCTGCAGTACGTAGCCACAGTTCGGTACAAAAGTCAGTGCCTGTCCTGTGCCTTCTGGAAGGGTGAAAATATCTGGGACCTCACAACGGCAACAGAGCAGAAAACCTAGATGCCCTGCTAAGTAATCTAGATTTGGAAAATGTCACGAGAAATTGTTTACTGTAGTAGTCATTTGGAATCAGTTAGTTATCACCTTGTTTGAAAATTAAACCAAAGTCCTGGTAAATTAGTGTACAGAAAAGAGTGCTTTGACATTTAAAAAAAAAAAAAAAAGGAATTTCAACTGCCACTCTTAAATTTTGAAGTGACCAAGAGATTATTATTTTAATATCAGTACTGTTTCACACTGCTAATAAGCGCTCCTTTTAGAAGAAGTAGTGTTCCTTATTTATTATTCCTCCCAGTCTTTAAAAAAAAAAAAAGTTGTTTTGAGAGTTTTTACCAGTTAATGAATCCTAGCAGCATGAAAGTATTTGAACATTCAGCTTTAGCATAGCTTAAAAGTGTGTATGTGTGTACACGTGTGTTTTATGAAAGTGATAGCTTAGGATGAATCATCTCGTGTAAGAGGAAGAATAGCAAACTATTATACTTCAAGGAAAAAACAGTTTTCAGCCAAAGTACTCTCTTCATTTGTTCTTTTACCATAGTCAGGGGAAGAATTGAAAGCATCCACTTCAACTTAGATGAAGTAAAGTTTGTGGATAAAGAATAAAACTTAGCTCTTTTGTCTCTGAGGCATTTAAAAACTTTTCAAATAGAGCATTAAATTGAGAGTTTATTGGCCTTCTAAACAGTCTTAATTTTGATTGAACTGGCTTCATGTTTTGCTATTCCTAGCTAACAAGGGAAATAACTTGAGAAGTACATGTATAAAAACGTTTTGATGGGCACGTTTGATTTGTAAAGCACTGACAAGTCTTCATACCCTGGTGATTTTTGAAATAGCTAATAAAGTGAAATATTAGGTAGAAAAAAAGGCTAGCAAAATGTCAAACAGGAGTACCACAATTTTCAATCTGCTACTGAAAAGTATTTGTTACAAATGTTTTAATAGGGACAGCAGATGCATAAGAACGGAACTGAAATTCAGTCTTGTAGTATTTTTAGAGCAACTAAATTGAACAAATAATGTGATTAAACTTCCAATACAGCAGCAAGAATTGTTTATTCTTTTTATTGTCATGTCTTTTCAGAAATAGTACATAATAGAATTGTGGGAAAATTAAGGGTTTTTTGAGCATACCAGTTTACCTATTCTGCTAATTCAGTTTCTTCTTCGTCTTCTTCCAAAACCTATTTGGGAATACTGAAAATATAAAATTCCTAAGTGTAGAGTAGTTGAGCTGTTTTGATTGCTACTCTGTGTAAATCCTGAATGATTCATGCACATTTGGCTTTTTGGAAATTATGTTCTAGCATGTCTTTCTGAATTTCAAAACTGATGATGGTTTACTCTTCTTTCCTATTGACAGGTCAAATTAATACCTACTGCCAGAATATTAAGGAGTTCAATGCACAGAACCTGGGCAAGCTTTTCATGGCTCAGGCTCTCCAAGATTACAACAACTGAAGCAACTTTGCTGTGGCCCTCAACAGGAGAAGTTATTTACAGTTTTATACTGTTCATGATCCTCTTGAAAATTTAGTATATTGGGAAAAGAGTTGTGTAAAACAGAGTCATCTTGGTTTGCATAGAATTCTCCTGTAAGAAAAATAAAGGCAAATTTTAACGATATTTCAGTATTTCCTTATTTGTTGGCTGTATTAGACTGGAATTTTCTGTGGTCACTCAGGTTTTCTAAATGTTTGTCAGTTATTCATGTTTAGTCATAGCAAATAATACAGGTTTTATTGAACTTGGAATCTGGAATAAAAACAAATTATTACAAATGTTCAGTATAGCTGACTGCACAGATGAAATGTAAGATTTCCCAGTTTTGGTTGAGAACCTGCAACCATAACGTGCTAGTCACTTGGAGCAGTTGCTCGTTTCTATTTTAATGTGTTTGAACAGTCTGGTGCGATGGACCTTCCATATCACAAATGTTTCATAGGCTTCACGTTTGGAACATAGAGAAGTAATGTTATGTGGAGACTGATCCCCACCATGTCATGCTAAGCTGTGCTCCCGTGTTCTGTTGCCACCATTAACTGGATTGAAATCCAATCTTATGACAGAAACTGTAGAAGGTGGCTGACCTGGAGCAGCTCGTGTGGTGTAAATGGACACCATTCCTACTCTGCATTAACTTTGCCATCTGGATGCACCTTTATTCTGGAACTCAGGCTACTTATCTTTTTAAGAAGAGTGTTAATTTAAAGATTTAATATGTGGCAACTCACACATGTTACTGTCATTGATTTCTTTTTTTTCTTGAGTTCTTCCTTGCGTGTCATTGTGTGACAAGTTCTGAGAGCCTAAAACGGCTGAAGGAGTGTGGTTTGGTCTTTCAAAATAAAAAAAACATCCTCTAAGTATGGACCTAGCATGGAATATTTCAGCCTCCAAGGTGAATGTTTTGGAAAGTGTGTGAAAACTGAGGGTTAGACTAAGAACTTATTCTTTTCCACTCTGAACTATAGTGATTACAGGATTTATGTAAATATGGATGCAAATTTTGTTCAGCCCTCACATGTCTGACAAATTACCAGTCTGGTCTTTTGCCTTGGAAACTTTGGGAACCTTTGTGTTAGCTTTCATACAGTGAACTCTGAAATCAAAGTTTAGTTAGGTATCCTGCTACAGTGCCACATGATTGACTTTCACTTCCTATACAAATAATATTCAAACCATGTTAATCTTCTAGTTTTCTGAAGCACCAAAATAACCACTAGGGAACAGAAGTGGGAGCAGATAATTAGACTAAGATGAGACATTTGAGATAGAAAAAACCCGATTTTCTGGATAACTGGGAACAGAAGACTGTGTGTAGAAGGAAGCAGCAGTAACATTATACATACTAGAAGGTCTACAGAGGAGGTGTTAGCAAAATAAATACTTGGAAAAGGTTAAAAACAAGCTGTGTGTTTTGAATTAGTTCTTTAAGATTGAGGATGTAAATGTGAGAGAGGGCAGTAATATTCTACTGTGCTGGAGTTTAACAAGATCAGTGAATTTTATATAGCTAAATCAAATGTGGGTAAATGTCAGTTAAAGCCTATGAAGAAATATGGAAGACTTCAGTAAAGATTTGTGGCTTCTAAGTGTATGGGTTTGAGTCAGACAGGGAAATGAGATATAAAAGTAGGTGAGGTGTAAGTAGACTTTGGCAATGATTTTGAGTATTCTCTTCTGAATTGCATGTCTTCTGTCATGGCAAATATCACTAGAGGAAGCCTCCCTGGGTGAGGGAGGCGGAGTCAGTTGAATTGTTGGTCTATAAATGAAAATCAACAGCTGTGGAGATTAGGAATTAACAGGGATGGGGCTGTATCTCCCACTCACAGCAATTGTCATATTAGACATTATCTCTGTATTTCTTGAACTTCACTTTTACATGTTCTCTTCCTAATGTTAGTGAGCTGGCAGCTCATTCACTGTAAGACATGTCCTTTCCATTTCTAATTATCATAGCACTACCGATTCTTTCTCCTTCCTTGGCTGTGAAAGACTTTTCTGTAAGCTAATAAAAATGCAGTGACATGAGAGTCTTTAAAAATCACTTTTAAAGAAGTTAAAACTTCTTTTCGGTCCGCAAGCCTGTTGTCATTGCGGAGGCAAACAAGGCCTCTGTCCCGTGGTTCCATCTTCACCACGTGTCCCCAGGTAATGCATGTGCACACAGGAGACAGAACGTGCATGTAAGGGTAAACCTTCCCTGCAGTCATTAGTTACATGCGTAGTCCACATCTAGCCGTCATCTCTCCTGTCACGCTCCTAACCATGCAGGTCTGTGTTGAAATAACTATTGTAATTGGTTTTTATTTGTGCAGAACTATAATCCTCGTAAAAGAAAACGTTACTTTGGAATCCAGCTCTAATGGCCATGAGTCTGACAGGCAACTCTTCTACGCTAAATGTTGGGCAAGTCTTTCAAAAGTGAGGTCTGAAAGGAAGAAAAAGGGGAGGATAATTTTAGCTTTGATGCTGAAGAAAACCAGTATTTCTTCTACTTGGTCAATACTTGGGCTCTTCAGCAGTATGGCCCAAATTTTGCTGTACGTTTATTGCCTCTGTTCCACTGCTACTTGTAAAATGCACTAATTGTGCTGATAATTTGAGCTTATGTGAGGTGTGATGTGCCATCTCCCTTAATCTTAGCTCCAGCTTGGTCATGCTGCCTGGCTGCCTACTTACGGGGGGGGGTGGGTGGTCCCAACTCCCTTTTCTCGTGCACACAAAACAAAAGGGCTTTGCTGGTGTGAGGTGGGGTGGATGCAACTTGCTATTGCATAAACAGTTAGAAAGTTTGTGCTGCTGTAGTTCGAGGTAACACTGTCACTGAGGAGTCGCAGTAGTGGATGGTGCGTGCTCCTCCTCGGTCCCAACGCGAAGTGGAGTAGGTTCATCTCTGAGCCTTTCTAACAGTCTGAAATGTGGCCGGTGGGACTGACAGCCCTGAGGTTATCTTCAGGACAGGCAATAGGAAAGGCTGCTAAATTTTGGATATTCTGCTTGGTTATCTGAGAAAATATGTGTAATTCCTTAGATATGATTAACTGCCACAGTCATTATCAGAAACTAATCCTTTATATTAGTATTTAAGGCAAATTAGACCAAATAGGGGAGAGCCTTTCTGTAATCCAAACATACTTGTCAGGCCCTTATCTTGACATCAAGATGCGTACCAGTGTTCCTTTCGCCTTTTGGTTTTCAAAGTTGGACCAAGCTCTGTCTGAACAGTAAGCATTCTGCCGCTGACTGCCCACATGGAAGAAACCTGTGGTGCTTTCCCCAGTTATTCTACATAAGGTTGACATGTCCTTTTTCTTCTGAGCTCCATGTGCTATTTCCCCAAATACTCAAACCTTTTAGAATCTGCATTTCTATTCCTCTGTGTCCTGCCAATGTTTGGATTTCTGTGCAGAGCTGAACCTGGGACTGCCAGGTAAGAAAGGGTAGGTTTTGTGCAGATGTAAACAACTGCACGGTGTACAGAGTAGAGAAGGTCTGGGTGAGGTTGCAGATGTCCTTTTTGGTGCTAACAAAGACGTTGGATGGGATTGGCCATGGCAACCAATAACACTTCTGAAGAGCATCTGACGTCTTTTCGTTTGTGCTCTTCATGCTTTGCAAATTCCTGAGCACAGAGTCATTCATCGCTCTTTGTGTTGGTTGGTCTTGCCTGATTTTTTGCCTTTGGATAAATCTCTGGTATGACAAAGCACTGGTGACAATCTGAGACATCTTTAAGAAGCAAGCGCTATTTAATGGTTCTCACTTGGTAGTCACAGGACTCCTGGTGCTCTGTTAAGAAGTCGTTAGGAGCTGGTGATGCAAATAATATCACCAGCCGAAATATGTGCAATGTGTGCAGTAAGAGGAATTGAATTGCTCTCTGTAGAACTGCTTCTCATCCAGTTTGCCAGCCCTGGGGTGAACGATACGTCCCTCATGATTTTCCATGTCTGTGCGTTTTCTTCCCCTGGATTTTATGCTTCTTAATTTTCTTCAGGTTTTGCCCACAGCTTGTTGATTTTTAAGCAAAAGGAGCATGCTGCTCTAAGTCTGCCTTCTGTCATTTTGTGCTTCACTTTTCCATGAATTCTTCTGGAAAGCTTTGTCTGCAGTTGGAAAGATGCTTTAAACTTTACGAGCTGAACGTCACCCTCATGGTGGCAGTTTTGGTTGCTCAGGTGTCAGGTATGGCCCCGATTTCGACTTTCTCATGCCCCCTGTCTTCAGCTGCGGGGGACAGAAGGCATGGGCACCGCTCGGGGGGCGGCGGTGCTGCTCCTCGGGGCTGGTCCAGAGGGAGTGATTCAGAAGCTCTTCGTACCAACTTTACAACTGGAAAGAGGTTTACACAAAGTTGGGCCTGTGTTTTATTTTTTGATCTTTTAATTGACAGACCGGATCGCTGTTGACACAGCTCGTGGTATGCTGAGTGGTAGCGAGTGGCGCAGAGCTGTAGAGGATGGCTTTAAAAACAACAGCTTTGGCAAAAGGCTCCTTAGTGAGAGAAAAGTTAATGTCTTATTTCAATTAAAGCAAACATTTATATGGGAGGAAAGATGGCCAGATCCATTTTACAATGATATTAAAAGGCATTAGGGTGTCAGTAAAATAAACAAGGAAGGGTAGCAATGTATTTATCCAGCAGAAACACAGCTAAAGACTTCAAAAGCTTTATAAGATGAAGAGAATGTGTGCGACGAGGATTTCCATTCTGGTTTAAATGATCAATTTATTAATCTGTCACCATTATTGAGGGTGGTGTTCCTTAAATATTATACAACGCATCAAACTGTGGATCTTTCTTTTTTCTTCTGCTGGTTTTGAGCAATACAAGTTTAGTCTTATATGCAAAAGTGTCCTGTTTTCATCATTCAGTGTGTGATTCAATCTTTTATGTCTCAGTAAAATTGATGAAGAATCATACCCAACAGGTTAGAATGTTGAAGGCTCATTAAAAGGTTCAGGGGTCTCATCCCACGTGCAACGTTTCCTTGCTTGCCTATCCTGATGTTCGAAAACAAATCACTGAAGGATTTAAAGTATGTTTTGTCAGTCACAGAATTGTTTAATTTTTTTGTTCCCAAATCTTTCGCTTGGCTTCTTTAACATTAGTGATT